CTCACTGTCTTTATGGGTGACCCCGCGAGGAAAGTTGACCATTGAGCAGGATTGATGGTTTATCCCTTGAGGTCCACGTGGCAGGGGTGAGGTGGTGCTCACTCCTCACCCCTGCCACATGGACCCAAGGGATAAACCATCAACCCTGCTCAGTGGTCAACTTTTCTTGCGAGGTCACCCATAAAGACAGTGGGAGGATTATGTATACAGTATCTGTTCCCATGGCGATGCTCTTAATGTGAATTAATCCCCTTTCGTTGACTCTAATTAGCTTTCATCAGTGTGTGTAATGCAGCTTCTGATAATTCAATTACCACATTCTCTCAGTTCCCATCTTAATGACATTTTTAGAAACATTCTTATGGGATCTTCACCTCATCTAGAATAAATCTGTTTGTGGTAAATTGCTATTGTTTTGCCTTTTATTTGTTCATCATCTCTTCTTTGTTGCTTTTACTACTTTCTGTTTCTCTGAGCCTGAGGGTGTAGTTCTGGATTTAAAACTTTGATATTAATTGTGCATTTGAGTCAATTCTCAGACTTTCCATCAAGTTGCTGCTGGTTTCAATCAGAGAATGACCACGGCTGCAGCAGGGGGATGGCATGGTGTTAGGCTGGGATTTATCTTCTTTGTAATTGAAAAAAAATATGATGGCTTTTTGGTTCCAGACCATATATATATATATATATCTATGTATCTATGTATCTATCTATCTATCTATCTATCTATCTATCTATCTATATATATATATATATATATATATATATATATATATATATATATATATACAGCAACAGGTGAATTAAACAAAAAAGACATTTTACATAACATTTCAAATAACTGAAATGTATTTTTCTTAAAAGCATTTGTTTTTCAAATTGGAGTTAAGTGTTTTGGATACATATTGTTTATTTATTTTTTTTAGTTAAAAACAAGTGAAGGAGCAATGCAATGCATCGCCACAGGCTAAACTCCCAGAGCTACCACAAGGACCAATATAGTGTGCCACCCCAGCATTTCTTTGGTCCTGTCTGGCCACCCTTATCAAAAATTTCTGGGGGCGCCCCTGGACAAGACACAAAAGATTTCAAATTAAGTTGAAAGTTATCTTCTGACTGTAGGTCATCTTAATATTCAGGAATGGGTTAGCCAGAGTCAAACATTGAATCTGGTCTGAGAAGGTAGTTGGAGGTCAAGGTGATGATGAGAAGAGCTTCTAGCCTCGCTGCTCATCACTAAAGAAAATATAAAGTCTGTAAAGGCCACCAGCTGCTCTCATAGACAGCCTCCTATAGCCATCAGCTGACTAAGCCATTACTTCTGTACCATTTAAACAATACCGCTAGGAGTATCCAACCCAATTTGTCCACCAGTAAGCTTAAAGTCTCTTTCCAGAGTATTTCTCTTATCCAATGGCACCATCTAGTGGCTGACAAGCATATCACACAAAAAGTCTGTCGCTCTGTTCTTTTAAGATGGTGACTTCATGTTTCTGTTTATAAATGGGCTGCATGGTGGCGCAGTGGTTAGCACTGTTGCCTCGCAGCACGAAGGTTGCAGGTTCGAAACCCGGCGCGGCTGCGGCCTTTCTGCGTGGAGTTGCATGTTCTGCCCATGCATGCGTGGGTTTCCTCTGGGTACTCCAGTTTCCCTCACAGATCACAACATGCCCTATAGGTTATAAATCGTAAGTCGCTTTGGATAAAAGCGTCTGCTAAATGAATAAACATAAACATGTGCTTCTGTAGCCGACAAACAGCTAAAACACGTTTTACAAGTATTATTCTCATGTCATGTTGTGTTTTCATATTTTTATATTCTAAAGACTTTCTTGTCCATGAAAAGTTCATTAACTTTGCATCAGCTGAGGTATTCCTTAAATTTGAAGCATCTAAGCAGTAGTCTAACACTATTGGTTAGTTCTGGTCGACGCTCCGTTTCCTATTGCACAGAGCTCTGCGGGGCAGGGGGCGTGCTTAGCAAAAATAATAATAATAATGACATATTGCTTACATTATTTCACAGTTCATGATAAGATAATCACTTTTACGGATTTCTGAAAATCCATACACAATTTATGAAAGTAGAAAACTCCGGAAAGCCACTTTAATAGTTCATCAGATGTGTATTTTCATAAATCACTGCTCACTGTTTCTCATTAATTTAGTCATGCACATCTCTTAAGGTTGGTCATTACTGACCTTTTCGTAAATGTTTTCAGGATGTCATTAAAATTTTACTCATTAAAGTCTGAATAGATTTGTCTTCAGTGGAAGATGGCTCTGAATGGTCGATTCTCCTTTTGTTTTGATAAAGTGAATGGCTGCTGACGATGTTTTTCTAGAACTCTTCAGGCTTTTTTTCGAAGGGTTGCCTTTTAAAGGAGTGAAACACTTATTAGTCAATCCATTTGCAGTGGTCTCTAGTAGGAATTAATGCCTTGTAAGTTGTATTCTGGGGAAAACAAAGTTCTAGTGCACCATTTTCAGGAACTAGAAGTGAGCCACGCCTAGACATGAATACGTAGATGTCCCATTGGGTGCTGGAGAGCGTAATAGCGTCACCGTCATATTGCGTGGGTTCCTCATGCTCCAAACCCAACTGAAGTCAACACAGAGTTAGCAACTATGCCTGTTTTTTGTGCAGCCTAGGTTTTATTTACCATCAGAAGGTATAGCTGTATGACGCTGACCGTCCCTGTTATACACCTCTGTAGTCTAAGTGAGTAAAATAAACTTTTTAGGATGCTGGAATAACTGCAGGATATTTTCCGCTGTCTGCTGGTCATACGGGTAAGGGTTAGGGTCAGGTCTCTGAGACAGGGGGGATCTCTTCTCTGTAAAATGGGGTAAAATATGAAGGGTTTCCCACCCAAAACGGGAGACTGACAGCTATGCTGATTGTCCAGATGTGAAGCTTCCATAAGCGTCCCAACAGAGCAGTGGAATCATCTGGCCTCAGGGGGCGATAGAGGCTGGGTGGCCTTTCATTATCTCTGTAAAGGGTCATTTCAGCACAAACTGGCTATAGAAAATAATTTAAAAGTATGAAAAAGCTGCAAAGTATCCCTATAAAAAATGAAATGATAAAATGTGTATTTTTTTGTTTGTTTGATCTTGTTTGGTGAATTAGTTGAATTAGTAGAAATAAATGCACTGGGGGCAAATCAGAAAATAACATGTAATGATAAAAAAAAAGTTCAGTATTCCCCATTTTAAACATCATCAGTTTTTAATTAATGAAGTTATGAAGAATCTATATCTGTTATTTTGCTAAGATGTTAGGTGTAAAACTGACCAACCAGAGCTTGAGTCACATGATGTTCTGCAAGTTCTTATATTAGGTTTGTTGTTTGGTCACAGAAGAGCCACAACGTGCAACAGCAGCTTCGTTCTAACACTACAAATCCGTGTTTGCTGTTGTTTTTCAGGTTCAGGTGTTTGTAGAACCAAGACACAATGGAATATGGGAAAATAAAAAAGGCTAGTTCTGCAAACAGGAAAAGCTCTGAAGATGTATCACAGAGATGGATTTAAAAACAAGGCTATTTTCCAGAACCAAAACAGTATTCTGTATTCATAATTTGTTTTCTGAGTGACCTATAATGAAAACATAATGCAGACCCTGCAGGACAGAAAATGTGGCTCTGTGCACAAAGCTGCTACAGGGTGGACCACTTTTCCAATTAGCCATGATAATAATAATAATTCAAAAAACACAGATAGTGTAAGGGAACTTACTAGAAATGAACGTGTATATCAGGGGGAAATGTTGCTGCAGTGATAATACAGCAGAATCGATCTACTTTTCCCCATTTTAAAATAAATTGCACTTTCACAGCTTCCAGGCTGAATTTATATTCACTCTGATTCGTTTGTTTCCTGCACCATTTAAAAGGCCCCTTACAGATTAGCTTTAGAGTTTGGCTTAATGCGGTGACATATGCGTAAAATAACGCCACCGTTCAGGAGTTTTAAAGACATGCTGTAGTTTTTTTTATTTTTTTGCAGATTAAAGTTGGATGGAACTCTGATAGAAAGCTTCTTGCGCCTAACTGCTTTTCTGGTCCAATATTTCCCAGAAACCATTTAAGCACTTAAATCTGGATGTGTTAGGCCTGTCTTTGTCTGTTCCTGGACTTTTAAACATATTTCTTCCCACGGGCTGTGTGTCTTTCTGAGAATGAGGGATGAGAGGTGCACCGACTTGGAAAGAATTGGGTTGAACTTGGAGACCGTCGGGATTGCTCTGGTTTTGCTCCGACACCATAAACTTCTCAGCAGAAGCTCATAATTGGGAGGTGTTTGGTTTCCTGATTTCTTGTTCGTCATATAGTTTTTATTAAGGTGACAAAAGTGTCACATTTTGAGTCGGCATTTCGTCTTTTGGTCCTGCGGCGTAGAAACGTAGCCGTTAAACTTTTAGAGAACATCTCATGTGGAAGATGCTCTAGATAAGTTCCAACATGTGTCGGTGATGAGCCAAATTTAATTAACTGCTCAGTGAGCAATCGCTGAAGCAGCAGTAAAGGCTTTGCCATGCCTCAGAGAGTAGCTTTAAATCAAAGGAGCAGCTGACGGTTGAGTGGGGGTTTTAGTTTAGTCACTTAGGGTGAAAATTGTTTCCCTCAGGTCCAAAACCTCTGATTTGTCATTTATGACCATATATCTGCAGGACTAATGCCCCCATACCAGTACCAGCCCCCAATGAGTGCAACCTCAGGGTTGTAGGTAGTTTAAAAGGGATTATTTGGGTCATTTTATATAAAAGTTATGAATAATTGACACCCTACTCATTGTTTCCTGAACAGCTTTGTTTTAGAGAAAAATAACTGATGGCCTTAAGGATGTGCAGTCAAGACCAAAGTGTTCAGTGTCCTAAACCTTGCAGCAGTTCATGCAACATGCATTACATAATAATTTTGGTAATACTGTTAAACAATTGGAGTTGACCTGTGGATGCTTTTTAGAGCATCTAAAGGTGTGCGTCTCCTCCTCAGGTATCGTGTCCCTGATCTCGCTGGTGGTCCTCTCCTATGACCGCTACAGCACGCTGACTGTTTACAACAAGCGTGGACCAGACTACCGGAAGCCACTGCTGGCTGTTGGGGGGTCTTGGCTCTACTCCTTGTTTTGGACGGTCCCTCCACTACTGGGCTGGAGCAGCTACGACATAGAGGGAGCGGGGACAAGCTGCTCTGTGTCCTGGACGGCCAACACCGCTCAGTCACACGCCTACATAATCTGCCTCTTCATCTTCTGTCTGGGCCTTCCTGTGATGGTGATGATTTACTGCTACGGCCGACTGCTATGGGCGGTCAAACAGGTAGAGTTGATGTGTGTGCGTTCATGTGTGTTTTACACCTGGTTTTGGTCTATTCACCATAAAAATGTACCTTAACTATACAGTAACTCGTCCCAACAGCTTGTTAACACCTCAGTCCAAAGTGGGATTGAGTCACGAAGCTGGAGTAGCAACGGCAGGATTGTTGCAGCTGTTTGACATGTTTTAAGGCACAGGCAGCCTCCTGTCAGCGGAGATAAAATGAGCCGTGAATGGTTATCTCAGAGTCCTGATCCATGAACGCGGTGAACCATGTGCACAAAGGAGGGATCCATGTTTTATATTCAGATCAGTGTGGAGCTAAATCAGTAGATATGCTGCTGTTCTCTGTTAGAGGACCGAAACTAAGCAATACAAAAAAGAAATACTGAAAACCTGACTGTAGCAGCTCTTTACATCTCATAATTGTATTAAAATAAATCCCTGTTAAGTAGATGTAATCAGTTAATGAAAAAAGAGATAATAGAAGAAAAAGGAGGAGGGGGTCGAAGTACCTTGAAGTGTAAAAATGTTCATTATTATTAATAAAATATCAAAAATATAAATGTGCCTAAATCAATAGTGAAAGCACAAAGGTTACATTATAGAGACTCGTCAGACCAGGCAACTTTTTTCCAGTCTTCTATCGTCCGGTTTTGGTGACCCTGTGGGAAATGTAGCCTCAGTTTTGTGTTCTTAGCTGACAAGAGCAGCACCTGGTGTGGTCTTCCGCTGCTGTAGCCCATCTGCCTCAAAGTTTCACATGTTGTGTGTTCAGAGATGTTCTTCTACATACCTTGATTGTAACGAGTGGTTATCGGAGTTGCTGTTACCTTTCTATCAGCTTGAACCTGTCGGGCCATTCTCCTCTGACCTCTGGCATCAACCAGGCATTTCGACCACAGAACTGCGGCTCATTCTCTGTAAACCCTAGAGATGGTTGTGTGTGACAATCCCAGAAGGTCAGCAGTTTCTGAAATACTCAGACCAACCTGTCTGGCACCAACAACCATGCCATGTTCAGAGTCACGTACATCACCTTTCTTCCTCGTTCTGAAGCTCGGTTTGAACTGCAGCAGATCGTCTTTATCATGTCAACATGCCTAAATACATTGAGTTGCCACCATGTGATTGGCTGATTAGTAACATGTGCTAACAAGCAGTTTTCTGGTGTACCCACTAAAGTGGCCAGTGAGTGATTTTTTTTTTATTAATTCGGTAGGTTTTTGTTAAGTTAAATGCATTTTTCTACACTGTAAGAAAAGAAAAAGTTGAATTTACCTGAATCCTGAAAGACGTTTTAGGCAAACAAAGAAACCCTAGAGGCGACTGCTGGGTTGGGTTTGTGGAGCATCAGGGAGGGACTAGAAAGTAGTTGAACTCTCAATGGTTCATTTTAGAGAGCAGAGGAAATGGCAGTGGGGGAGATTAGAGCTGCATTACGCCTCGAACAAAGCCTAAACCCAAACCCAGTTTTTTTGTTGTTGCTTTAATCCACAATAAAGCACCTTTAGACCTCAAACTGACCCCACTGTATCAATAAGCAGCTTTCACAATGTGCCTTCTAACTGTTAAGATGTCAGTGCAGGTCACTTTAGAAATAGAGGTCTTGATTCTGGTTTCTTCTATTTTAATGTCCTTTTCCTTTTCAAACAGAATATGATCATTAAATTTTTGTGTGATTATCAGTGTGATTTTATTTTTAATGTCTACAATGACTTTGTTATTATTATTATTATTATTGTTATAATAGTTATTTTTATTCTTATTATAATGTTCGAAATAAAGATTTCATTCATTCATTCATTCATTCATTCATTCATTCAAATGTCTTTGAACCAGCTGGGTAAGAGAGGGCTTTAGATTTTGTGACGTTTCACCAACTTTTAATCAGTTTAGATGAATATTAGGAGATTTTAGGCCATCAGTGCTTTGCCTTTGTTTGTTTTATAACACTGCTTTGAAGAAAGTTGATTTTATGTTTCTATCTAGCAAAAAGGAGCTGGACTGTTTGGTTTAATCAGAAGAAATAATTGGTAAAAAGGAATTTTAAGAAAAAGATTCTGAGTAAATGAACGTTCCTGCTAGTTAATCAGGCTCTGACTGTTCAGATGATTACAGATATTCAGTGCATAGATGCATATCATGTGTTATATAGAGAGGTTTTCTCCATAGAGTAGATATTAAATAAACATGTTACCTAATTCCTTTAATACTATTGACATTAAAGTGGTTCTTTGCAGCGGTCTGACCCTGTGTGTCAAAACTGTGCTCAGCTTTAATGTCCTTGTCTTCCTTTCTTCATAAAAGAAGAAAAAAGCAGAAACATAACAAGTGTATAATCAACAAAATATTTTATTTTCTCCAAAAGTTGTGAAAAATTCAACAATCTGAACTGGAGGTCGTCCCATTTAATATATTTTAACATTAACGGCCTCATTCCTTGACAGATTGAGGATCGACAGACTCCTTTCATGCACGAGCGTTAAAGAAGTGAAACGGTGCAGTTGGAACGCTTTGATCCCGAATCTTACAAGACCTCTCGTGATTATGACTGACTCTCAGCCACAGTCACATGATCTAATTTCATCCTAATATTTGTAAAATTGACCAAGTTGTTTGTTTTGAATGGAGCTGACAACAAAAGGTGTTCAGTGGTAAATAAACATTCATTGATTATTTTCTAACTGGTTGATTAAAGTCAATCCAGTGGTTGATGAGATAGTCCTCGAACACATCAGAAAAACATTTTGACTGTTCGCTCAGAGCTCAGCATCTGTTTTCTATAAAGATCGTTTTGTTTATTAATGCTGAAAATGTTAAAACGTCCCCGCTGGTCGAGTTCTGGTTTTTGAGTCATGACTTTCTGCTGCTAAAAGGTTCTTTGAGTCAATAGAAAAGCTTTCTATTTTAGATCAATACTGGATTTACTCAGCAGGATGGGAAAGTTCAAGGAGCTCAGTGCAGATTTAAAATGTGAATGCAGAAATGTCAACAGATCATAAGACGACCCATTCTGTCACTTTTACACATTATGGTGATGAGACGCACCATATCGTAGGGTCTGATTAAGATGTCATGTCATGTGATATAAAATAACCCAATTTATTTCTGATTTGACCCGATGATAACAACAAATGGAGCGGATAAAAGCTAAAAATCCATCAGAAGTGATTTAAATATCATGCTAAATGTGCTGAATTTGACAGATTGTTTAATAAAAGTGACCGAAAGAACAAGATCGCGGATACAAGTGGCCAAACTGAGTTTTCTCCGCAGGCTGTCTGGGCTCTCCCTTAGATATAGGGTGAGAAGCTCGGTCATCCGGGAGGGGCTTGCAGTAGATCCGCTGCTCCTCCATGTTGAGAGGAGCCATTTGAGGTGACTTGGGCATCTGGTTAGGATGCCTTCTGGATGCGTGAGGTTTTCCAGGCACATCCAACTGGAAGGAGACCCAAGGGAAGACCCAGGACACGCTGGAGGGACTGTTGTCGCTCGGCTGGCCAGGGAACGCCTTGGGATTCCCCTGGAAGAGCCGGCCCAAGTAGCTGGGGAGAGGGAAGTCTGGGCATCCTGGCTTAGGCTGCTGCCCCCGCGACCTGACTCCGGATAAGTGGCTGAAAATGGATGGATGGATGGATGTTTAAAAAAAAGGCTTTTGTCCCTGCAACAGTAAAACCTTTCCAGTTCCTGGCCTAACAAGACACAGTTAGGAGTTCATTGGCACCACTGATGCCCCCACCCCCCACCACCAACCCCACCCCCTCCAAAAGGAAATTTACAAGTAGCAGTGAGAAGGAATCAGCTGGGAAAACAGATCCATCCGAGCGCACATGTGCATAAATATTGAAGCTTAGTAAAGTCAACAATGTCTAAAGCTCGACACACATGGGTGTGTGTGTGTGTGGGGGGGGGGGGGGGGGGGGGCTTTTGTTGTTTGCATAAAAGCATTTTTTTATTTCAAAGATGACTAAGGACCTAGACTTCTCCAACATATTTTCTTTTTTTAACAAGAGTAACAGATAAAATGCATCATGCATACTGCTGTAAAGCCATAATATACAAAAGTAGTGAGATATTAAATCTGCTAACGGTTCTAATAAAGCCTAGCGAAGAAAGACAGATTGGACCAGAGTGCATGAAGTGACTGCAGTTTTAACTCAATGTGACCCGAGTCTGAAAAAGACATCTCATGCTCCCTGAACCCCATTGGTGAAAACTTAATCCTGGCATTGTCATCTTGAATTATACTTGTCCCATCACGGAGGGAAAAGACAGCAAGACAGACACGCTAAGATAAGATGATTACTCGACTTTATTTGATGTTCTTACTTCCCTGCTGCACACATCGCTCCGGAACAGGGTGAACTCAAACCCAGCAGACCGTCTTCATTACTTCAGAGTTTATTCTTCTTGACATATTAAATCTTTATTTAGACTATAGTTGTTTTTTTTAGCTTAAATTATTAAAATGTGTCAATTCTCTGATCAAGATTCTCTGGCATTTTTACTCCAACAATCCGAATGGGTGTGTACATGGACGTCAATCGGAATGATGATCGGACAAAACCACCACTGTCATTAGAAATGAAATGTCATTACGATCGGGCCGTATCAGATCAGAATATTCCGGTTTACATGAAGAGTTTTTTATTTGACAGGGCATTCATTCAGATTATTTGCGCATGTAAATGTAGTATTAAAAATCCTCTGATGTCCCAAAAAACATTTTAGCCTTACCCCTAGAAATCGGATAAACGCAAACCTGACAGCCCAGACAGATACACAGTCAAAAATAGGGGTACTGAAAGGGTACATTGTTGCGCGCCAAGGGATAAAAATGATGTTGACCCAGTCTAAGGATTATTATTGTACCTCAGGGTATCTATCTGTACCTTTTTTGTTGTTGGAAAGGTACATATATGTTCCTTAGTAGCAAAAAGTACACCTTTATAACAATTCTTTCAAAAGGTAATGTAACCGGATTACAGGATACAATAAGA